GTGACTAATTTTTCTAATTTAACTGTTATATATACATATATGTGATATTGAAAGGAACCCTAGGGACAAAATAGGCAGGTTTAGGGACTAAAAAGGGTCCATGGGAAAGGAATGCATAGGTGAAGGCTTGGAGCTACCAGAGTCGTACATTCACAGAGGATAAAGAAAAGTCACAGAATACTGGGAAAAGGAAACATAGTTTCACAGAAGATTGAGAAATGTGGACAGATGCCAGAAAGAGGGAAACATTTTCACAGGAGATAGAGGAATGTTGCAAAATAAGGGGGAGAGAAAGAGGAGAGTACTACATGGGTTTTGGACTTTGAAGCATGATATTCTCAAAAGAGTGACCAATTAGAAAAGCACGGGGTCATAACATGGGGAAGGAGGCCAATTAGAAGGGAGCATCCTCCGGCCTCGATGGCGCCCTCCAGCTGGTGTGTGGGGGCCTCGGGGGGCTGTAGGGCAGGGCAGAGGCAGGACAAGGCTCAATCCCCTGTCCCCCCAGGTCGCCCTGAAAGGCCACCAGCTGCTGACCTGGGAGCACGTGGTGCGGGCGGTGGACGTCTCCTCCTTCGCAGACCACCCCTGCACCCAGGCCTCGGGCCACCCCTGCCTCAACGGGGCCTCCTGCCTCCCCCAGGAGGCCTCCTACACCTGCCTGTGCCCCGGGGGCTTCTCGGGGCTCCACTGCGAGAAGGGTGAGCACGGCGGCCGGGCTGAGGCTGCAGGTGTCGGACCCCGAGCCGCCCCTCACCCTGACTGTCTCCCAGGGCTGATGGAGAAGTCGGCAGGGGACCTGGACGCACTGGCCTTCGATGGACGGACCTACATCGAGTACCTCAACGCTGTGACGGAGAGGTAACGCCCCTCTGCTCCGCTGTCCGTCCATCTGTCCTGTTTGCTCGTGCAGGGCCAGACGCAGGCCATGCCACACCCGCCCTCGGCTCCGTGACCAGGAGGGCAGGCCCCCTCGGCCGGCCCCCTGCCCCCTCCTCCCTCCTGCCTCTCACCTTCTCTGTCTCTTTGTTTCCAAGCGAACTGACCAATGAGATCCCAGCGTAAGTAGCACCTGGGCTCCTCCACCTCACTCCACTCGCACATTCTGTGCCCATTCTCTGTTCCTTGCAACTGAGGCAGAGGCGGGACTTCCCTCCCCGATGGAGGAGGATGGGCGGGGCTGTGTGTCCTGCACGGGCTGTTTCCCAGCATGGAAGTGGGCGCTACCCCTTCCAGGATGTGTGCTGAGGGCGGTCACCCTCCACCCCTCAGCGGCTGCTCTCACTACATGAGCATCTGTGGGCGTGTGTGTGTGTGTGTGTGTGTGTGT